TCTCATGTTATGTAACATAATTTTCAATTTTTCTCTCTTCTCAGGCTCGGGGAAACTCATAGTGATACTAATGTAAGATCATTCTTTTTTTTTTTTTGTTTCTTTGTGTTTTCTTTGTGTTTGCATTTTTCTGTTCATGAACGTTGTTGGAATTTTTTTTAATTTTTCTGTTTTAATTGATTGTGTGAATGTTGTTGGTTTTTTTTTTAAATTTTAAATTTTATTTTTCTATTCTTTAATGATTGTATAAATGGAGACGAGATTACATATGAGTGATATATATGCTTCATCTTATTCGCCCCACGGTCTCAGTGAAGACCCTCCTTCTCCTCTTTCTTCGACGCCTCTATTCTATATTAACTGTATTTGAACTTATGAATATTTAAATTTATAACAAATATTTAACTTTTATATTAATTTAATTTATTTTCTATTTGTGTTTGATATTTTTTTAAATTATTATTAATGGAGTTACCGACGATTTAAGTACGTTGGTATATTCAAAGAATTGAAAAAGAATTACTATAAATACCACTGCTACTGTTTACTAACCGAAAAAATAACAGAAGGTTCATTTGATGGTAATATCCAAATTCAATAAAGGAAATACTGACAAGTAAAAAAACTCATCGATTAAATGACATACGGATTTGCTGTTAGTGATTTATTATATTCATCGATAGAAATCCTAATAGAATGAAGCTAGTAATTTTTTTTGCATGTTTTGTCTGCCAATTAATTGTTAGTAAAATTATTATTGATAGACTCTGCGACATATCACAAATTACTGAGGAGAGTTTTTTCTGATGAATGATTTTTTTTCTGTGAGGAGGTTAAAAAAATTCATGTTGGGAGACTATGAGTATAAATATCAATAGAAAAATACGTCAATAAATTTGAAAATTCTATAATGAGTTAGTGCTCTCATCAACCAGCACGTCAAAGTTGAATACTATTAATATTTACTATTAACATGTTTTGTTCAAGAAAAAATATGGAAGAAAAACAAGAGAGGATATGTTTGAAAGCACAACCACTCTATGGAAGAAAAAAAAATGTTCTAGAACTCTTACATGGACTTGTTAAAGCATGCCATTGAAGGATGCGATGATCTGTGCATATGGAACTGAAATTCAATCTGTGCAAGAGTAGAAGACTATCAACCACGCAGATGGCCTAACATTCTGCTAGCAGTGATGCTTTCATACACCGGAACAGACAATCGAACGCGGTTTTTAAGCACAGATCTATTTATTTATATTCAATGACGGAAAGTGTAACCGAAATAAGAAAATATTGACTGAACAATCCAGTTTGTTGTGGAGAATAAGAAAATATTGACTGAACAACCCAGTTTGTTGTGGAAGTTTAGCCCATTGTTAGCATACACGCAGAGTAGAAAGATATCTGTGTACATAAATCACTACCGTTAGCGGATAAACTTACGCGTAAGGAGACAATCGTTAGCACAAATCACCGCAGGACAGCTACCAGTACATGGGAAAATTAATACGTGTACTCAGAAGTGGAGTTCAAATCAATATGAACAGAATGATAAAGAGTGGGAAATGCATGCTATTAGTCCCATTGCCGAAGTCAAATAGTACAAGATACGGCTAAGTAAATAAAAGCAAAAGGTGGGGATAAAGCTTGTATTCTGTTGCATATAGACAGAAACAGGCAGTCCTTTGCGATCGTGATCAGAAATATAATTGGGGTTATTTTTTAAAATATTTTTTATTTAAAAAAATTATTTTTTTAAAGCAGCATATTAACATAATTTAAAAATATATTAATTTAAAATAAAAAAAACTTCAAATTATTTTAAAACACATTGCGAAACACTCGTAAAAACCAACACCCTGTTGGGAATTCCGACCGGTGATGTTCTGATACTTGCTCATAGGAGAGCCAAGCACACTGACACAATATTTAACGTGGTTTGGCAAAACCGCCTACATCCACGGGAGAAGTCAATATATTTAGAGATATAGAAAGAATACAAAACAAATACATGGAGGAGGAGGATTACACCCTCTCATACTCAACTCTCAACTCTCTTTGCTGCACTTGCAGCTGCTGCAATGGCAGCAAGGCTGCTGCCATTGCAGCTCTCTCTTCCTCTCTACTCTCTTCACATTTTCCTAATTCTCCTCCCTCATTTTGCTCTCTTGCATATGCCTCTCTTTATAGGCATTCATGGAGGCTTTTCTTCAACAAAGGTGGCTGCCAACTCCAACTCTTCTTCAACAATGGTGGCTGCCAACCTTTGACATCTTGGATGAGTGCACATGGTTGGTGCAATAGCAAATGGTTGTTGCACATTAATGGCAACCAACCTAACAATCACCCCCTTTGCCATTCATGCGGGGCAATTGTCCTCATTCTTCTTCAACACAAGCTTGCATCTTGCAGCTCTTCCAAGCTTTCCATTTTAAGAGCTTTTGTAGCCAAATTTACAGGTACTTGCCAAACCTTTCAATCATCAGAGTGACCTAAGCACACCTTTTCTCACACAAAAGGATCACTATAACCAGATGGTCTGCCACATCACATCTGAATAGTGTTAACGCTTGTCTCTGGAACAACATTCCCCTTCGAGCGTATCAACCACGCTCAGTCCGGAATGATTCCTCAAGCCTCACATCAAGGCTTACAACACCCCCTCAAACGGATATTTCAAGTGCGACAGTCATTATCTGAGTATCTCAATATGATCACAAGCTCACCACTCTTCCAAGAGTCTACTCATCCAGGAGTTGCGCCTGCCCTCTGTTCCACCCTAGGAACTACGCCTTACTTCTCCATGAGTCTCTCGCTCTTAGTCTCAAGAGTCTAGGTAGCTTTCCACCTTTAACCATGGGGGCAGCCCATAAAAGTTTGATCCATATCTGTCTTCATACTCTGAGTATTACAATGCCATTACCGAGCTCACCACCTTGACAAGAGTCAACTTGTTCCCGGAACCTGCGCATGCCCTCTGCTCCTTCATAGCAGCCACGTCTTAATGCTCCACAAGTCATCCACTTATTGTCCAAGGCAAATGTCTTCTAGCTCATTGATCTTTAGCATGGGGGCAATATCCATGAAAGTCAATCCTGCATTTGTCTCCATACTCATCATAGCCCTTTTATTGGCTATCCATCTGTCCACTCATACCTAGCCATCACATTGGCTTTGGGGCATTCTGAACTGGGCTCCTTCCACGGCCCTCACACCTTCTCCTGAGGTGTCTCCGCTCGTCGTCATACGGCGGTCTGATCATGGGCTCATCTCATAGCCCTCACACCTTCTCTTTAAGGTGTCTTCGCCTTTTATAGGCAGTCGCACCCTCCTTCAGCTAAGATGCTTCAAAGTGGCTCCATAAATTCTTTGCCACTAATTACATAGAAAGAGAAAGTTGCGGTATACTCCTCGCAATCCTCCAACTCAATTTCTATGTTTGGAGCTTCTACGCCTTTTCTGCTTAACAGCTCCACCCGCACCAACTCCCTTTGGTGTCTTCGCCTTTCATCATAGGCGGTCGCCTTTTATCACAGGCGTTTGCACCCCCTCAATTAGGTGCATCTGCAACAGCTCATCCTTCCATCCTTGCATGCATTGAAAGGTCCTCGCTTGTTGCCTTTATCAAGAGCACAAGAGACTTTTGTTGTACAACTTTTTCATAGTCTCTGCTCTGAGCTTCATCTGGGAACTCTTCTTCTCCTTGCACCTGTTGTCTCATTATAGTACCTCGTTGGATCCTCCGAGTACTCCTACACAATCTTCATGTGCTCTCGTGCAATTTTGGTTCTCCAGATTTCTCCCTATTCCTTGCTTATGTTTGACAGCAGCTCATCCTGTCACAACATCTATCCAAGTTTAAATAGGGTGCCAATCTTTATCCCTTTGCTGTATTTCTCTTCCATTATCAGGGTCTTCATCAATTCTCCCCTCGAGAAATTATAGTCACCGAATCTAACTTCCTTGGAGAAATCACCACTCCATCAAATCCTTGATCATACGGAACCCAACTGTTCCTTTATGCCGTCATCCTGCTAGTCTTCAACAGTTTCATAACAAACTGTCACATATACGAAAATAGTACCGTATGGATAATCCTTTCACTAAACAAGTTCCCAGGAAAGATTGGAGGGGTCACAACGGTCCCGCTTAAAACCCAATCTCCTAGCCAGAACTTCTTAGGTCATATCTATCCATCGTACTGTCTTTTCGTATATACAACCATTTGCTAGCTTTGTTGCGGCTTTCCTTTACAAGTGATCTGGGGTATCCTGGTTTTATACCTGATTTCTCAATATCTGGCGAGACTACCAGTGCTCAGATTCGTCAAGATTGGTCTTCATCAAATTTCACTCTCCACCTCAAATTGTTCAAATGATCGGGTGTCCAGAGTGTTCCAATTTTAACTTCCCTCAAGACAATTAAAATTCCCCACATAATAGTTCACCACATGTAATTGGGCAAACATGCGTGATTTCTTCTTCTTCAGCTCCATCGACCACCATGATGACCATCATATGCCTCCTGATCGGGCAATCTCTCTTTAATAATTCATCACTACCATTTATGATCTCAATCTCAACGATCGGACCATACCATTGCATCCGGAACGATCAAATTAGCTGGAAACAAGTCTGAAATCGTCCAAATCGCACTTCAGACGGCTAAGATTTGATCAAAATAATTTTGGCCTGATAAACGGCCCAGATTCAATTTCAGAACCGGTTGCACGTAGACTCCGCCACACAGGATCAAAATCCAGAGAGCTGACGTGGCTGTAATGACGTGTCATCCACGTAGGACATATAGGTCAACCAAATCTGACGTGGCAGTTTGACTGGTCAGAGTGCTGATGTGTCAGGTGACGTGTCTGATGACTGTGCAGAACTGCTGACGTGCCTAATGACGTGGCAGTTTGACTGGTCAGAGTGCTGATCTGTCAGGTGACGTGTCTGATGACTGTGCAGAACTGCTGACGTTGCTGATGACGTGGACAGTCACCCCGCCGGCGCGTGCGCCGGTTTCCGACGTCCGATTTCGACGCGGTTTTCACTAGTGGCTTCGTCTCTTCCTCCTCTACACAGTGGTATGGTCAAAACACAATTTTGACAACTTTCATTTTTGAGCAAAATCAAACACCACTTTAAACCGAACGCTCTGATACCAATTGTTGGGAATTCCGATCGGTGATGTTCTGATACTTGCTCATAGGAGAGCCAAGCACACTGACACAATATTTAACGTGGTTCGACAAAACCGCCTACATCCACGGGAGAAGTCAATATATTTAGAGATAGAGAAAGAATACAAAACAAATACATGGAGGAGGAGGATTACACCCTCTCATACTCAACTCTCAACTCTCTTTGCTGCACTTGCAGCTGCTGCAATGGCAGCAAGGCTGCTGCCATTGCAGCTCTCTCTTCCTCTCTACTCTCTTCACATTTTCATAATTTTCTTCACACATTTTGCTCTCTTGCATGTGCCTCTATTTATAGGCATTCATGGAGGCTTTTCTTCAACAAAGGTGGCTGCCAACTCCAACTCTTCTTCAACAATGGTGGCTGCCAACCTTTGACATCTTGGATGAGTTCACATGGTTGGTGCAATAGCAAATAGTTGTTGCACATTAATGACAACCAACCTAACAGCTGTGGCCCCAAACCCGTAAGGAATGAAGTAATGCAGATAGGTGATTGTGAAGCTGCAAGCAATACTTGAAGAAATTAAAAATGTACCATTTAAAACCTTTTGCATAACTGAATTTGGTAGGAACCATACCATATAGAAAGCACAGAGGTCTCCTCTTTAGGATTTGGTAACAGCCCAGATAGTAAAATAAGTACCTCATAAGACCACCATTCAAGACTGAAGAAATTGGCATACCAAAGATGATATCAGGGACTCGATTGGCATGGAAATAACAACAGGATGAGGGAAAAACCATGTCTTTTGTTGGAAGATTTTGGAGAGAAATTACCAAGTCATTATTGCAGAAGGAACAGCAAAGCGAAAGAATTCCCTTATGCCAAAGAAGACATCCTTTGAGAACACAGAACGAGTTTTTTCGCATTCGGAAGAATTCTTCATGTATAACCCAAGCAAGATAACATTCAACCAATATGATAAACTGATGGCTAATGCTGCTCCTATGATTCCCATTTCTGCTTTAAACACTAGAGCCCAACAGAGAGGTATATGGAAACACAGAGAGGCAAATGAACTACACAGCATTGGAAGGATCAAACTCTGAGTTTGGAAGTAGCGAATCAGCGCTTGAAGTATAGCATATGAAAACAAGTTAGGAATGAGGCAAATAGAGTATTTGCGAGCGACATGGGAGATTGAAGGGTCTTGGCCTATAAGGATAAGAAGCTTGTCTGTAAACATCCATAGAAAGGATATAGGGAGACAGACCAAAATCAAGGAAATGATGGCACAGTAAGTGTAAGTTTCAAGCTTTTGATATTGCTCTGCTCCGTAAGCTTGCCCGCATAGAGTTTCCAATGCACCAGCTAATCCAAACTGTTTGAAAGTCATAGCACCATGTTAAGTGTAGCTTGAAAAGTTTATCCTTAATGTACTTAGAACTCACTGAAACCTATATTATAATTTGAACTGAATTACATCACATTTTGTTCAGCTTTGACCTCTCAACTGATTAAAAACATATAAAATACAAGAAAACCTTGTCAAATCCGGTTGTTTTCGTTTTCAGTTTGTTTGAATATCTGTATAGTTGTCATTGCGCAAATGAGGAAAGCCTTGAGGCAGAATTTTGCCTGGTGCAGGCATAGAAGTGGAACTCATTGCACCTTCCAAAGCTCATCTAATTTTCTTCCACGTATAACCATAACCATGTATCAAAAAATCCGATATTTATATATAATAATATATAATGAAGATTATATATATTAATAAAAACATATAAGATCTCAAATTTATTTTTAACAATAAAAAATTGAATAATATTACAATTGCTACATTGAAGCTTACAACATTTAAGTTCAGGCAGACCAAAGCTCGAATAGGAAATCAGTTTGAGTTAAAATCAACCCTTCTGCAAGGAAAAAGTTCTTTACTGATTGAAAAAATTTGCAAAAGATTTGAGAGTAGTACTGAGGTGCAGTTTTCAATTAAGAGAGGAAAAGAAGTAGTTACAAGCAGACTGAAGCCGGTAACACTGGTGAAAGAGGAGGCACTAGAGATCCCAGATAGTGAGAGCTCATCAAGATGTCCAACCATCATCACTGAAACAACCTGCATCAGGTACTGCAGAACTGTGACTGCGACCATTGGCGCTGCTACATAGCTCACCTTCTTCAGCTCTTTCAAAGAGAGCTTCCATTTACAACTCATTTTTCTCGGCTCTTTACACAAATACCTCTCGCGTTCTCTTCTACTACTGCCTCCCAAAGATGCAAAGTTGGAGTAACGGTTGGTAGAAGTTTTCTATGCGTATTTTTTTCTGTAAATAGACGTGGTTGTCATTGTTGTAATTAATGAGTGCTTCTTCCACTTACCTAACTGCCTCTTCCAATTTTCTCTTGTTTTGCATAAAAAATGAGGGTTCCTATATGTTCAATGGTTCGGCCGTGACTTGAAACAACAGCGATTGCTTTTACTATTTTAAAATTAAATACTACGAAAATCAAAGAGAAGAGTTGAAAGTTAGATTAGAGCTGTAACTATTATGAAATAAAATAGAAATCTAATTTCTTACACTTGTCCTGTCCGAAGAATGATACTTGGGGTACACAAAGGTTTCCTGGAAAAATAAGAAAAGATGGGAAAATACATCTGCCTTCGATATCCTAAATATGGAATTCTGACCGCGACCAACTTTTCCTCGTCGTAAAAGAAATATTGCTACAGAATGACCGCAATGCTGAGATGGCTTCCACATTGAGCAAGCCATTCATTTTATGTGCTCCACAATAGAATAGAAAAATCCGTAGTGGGAGAGATCTCTATGTTTGTTGAGGCATAAAAAGACTAGTGTTTTCAACTAGTCCCGATCAGCCAGGACGTGAGATGGTGAAAGGTTGCACAACATGCATCAAACACACCTCACTTGTCACTTTCTTGAAGCATACATATCCACTAGTGCTCATCCATCGTGTCCATGACATGCATTCTGCGTCCAGAGAAAACCAACTGAGGGCAAGCCTCGAGCAAGGATGTGCTGTTGGAAGAAGCTTCGATCTTTTATGCAACAAAATACTGCACTTTACCACTGCACTCCTCTATGCAATCATGAGAGGTTCATGTTTCTCCAGACTTGAATTCTTCTTTGCCTCTAAGCCACATCAAAATCATTACACATTCTCAGTGCTCCTCTCTGGAACATGAATATTCCCTTAGATTGCAAATGAATTGGTCGGCACATTTGAGAAACTTGTGAGTGCTGATTGACAAGAATTACAGGTGCAGATCTTTCATCCTCCTAGATCTCCAGTTGTTTTAGCTCTTCCTCGGTCACAGTTTCAAATACAAGGAAACAAACAAATAATCCTGCAAGCAAGAAAATAGCCATGTTCTAAAAGTTAATGTAGACATGGAGCTAAAGAGCAAATTAAAATTGCTGGAACTTTTAAGTATAGAACAAGCTAGCAATAAGTTGAGTTACAGAAGCAGTGTTCACCTCAATGTCATCAGATAAAGAAAAACACAATCATATTGACTCCCACATTCACAGCATATACTTGTTTTCTATTTTCCTTTTCTGACTTTGGTACTTCCAGTCTAACAGAACGCTACCCAGCAGTACTAAGGCTAGTAAAGACTCTTGGCAGGCCATTGCTGAAACTAAAACAACTCAAAAGGTATGATTGACCTCAGCCAATATGAGATAACACTTCATCTTAAAAGGTGATGATCGACCTCAGCTAATATGCAATACATACCACTAATACAACTCAGAAGATCTGATTGACCTCAGCCAATATGTGTTAACAATTCATCTTAGCAGGTGATGGATTGGGTTTGGAGCAAGCAGCAATTTCAATATGTCAAACAAAAGGGGGAAAAGATGAAAGCACAGCAGTTTTTTTGTTATGGATAGCGATCAGAGATCACAAAGAGATCGTTCAAAAGACAAATAATCAGTTTGCTTGTGAGTTTTACCACTCATTTCCTAGAGTAGTGCAACATCCAGCAAAACGTTGACAGCTCAAAGACTTCAGAGAAATGCAAAAACAAGCAGCAATACATTAAATCACTAAGAAAGAAAGTCCTGCTGCATATTTCTACAGTTCTGCTAGGAGCAGCATGAGAGCAGTCTTAGCATGACAAAAAAAATTACATCTGAATGACAGTAATCAGCCATATTTAGTTCACCCTACAAGATATTCGTTTAACTCAATAACATAGGAACAGAGGATTGAGTCAGAACAACAACAATCATAAAATTACATCTGAATGCCAGTAATCAGCCATATTTAGTTCACCCTACAAGATATTCGTTTAACTCAATAACATAGGAACAAAGGATTGATTCAGAACAACAACAATCATTGATTTGAAACAGTGGTGTGTCAGAAAATAAACCTTCAAAGTGATTATGAACCTCAGTATTGCTTATAACCTGAGTGATTATCCTAATTTAGTAAAGTCCCTCAATCTCAAAAGTATGGTCAGCTAAAAGATAAAATTTGATGGTGGATAAAAGCAGTTTCCATGATACTTCAGAAGCAATAAGTCAGTTGGGATGAGGGTTGGGTCTAGCCAAAATTTCATCAGCATGCAATGAAAAAGAACTATAAGTGAAAAGGGAACCAGCGTGCATGTAAAAAATATTACTCGGCCATAAGAATTAATGACTGGCCAAAATGACTGAAACAAACAATAGGAATGACTAATAAAACTTTGTAATGCTTTGAAAGAAATGCAGACAAAATATGATGGTGTGGAAAAAAGGCAATGATCCAGTGGCAATTATTTAAGAGTCTAAACACTTAAATAACCTAATCAGTTATTCAATGAGTCACTGAAATGTTTGATCAACAAACAAGTATATTTTGAAGGAGAAAATTGAAAGAAGTTTCCCATCAGAATTCATGGCTAAGGGCCAAACTGGTTTTTGTTATATGATTTGTTTTCACGTTTCCTTCTACTTTTGGTCGCTAGAGCTGGGGGGAAGAGCAAATGAAGCATCCAAGTGACAAATTTTCTTTTTCCCTGTTTCTCGAAATTATATATAATTGCAGAAGGAATAGGAAAAAACTGGAGAGAAGTTTGAAAGTAAACACTTCTATAAATTCTTACCGTCAAATCGGAGAGTAAAATCCTTACTGTTTCAGCTGAAAATGCTCCTACATGCTAATTTAATATGCTATCAACATCAATTTGATAAAGAAAATGAGGTTTAAAAGGAAAACAAAAGGATTGGAAAGCCCAAAAATAGTCTTGCAGTGACCTTATTAAGCCTTCGAATGAAGCTGATGAAACTGCTCTTGCAAATCTATGGCTAGCGTTTCCCTGCCGGATTTCTTGAGGCAGTTGAAAACCTTCATATACACTTTAAAATATGGTCTAAGACCTTTCTTGATCATTTCAGAAAGAATATTTTGGGCAATCACCAGATTTCCTCTTTTCTGATGAAGCCTCGCAAGCAAGCTGTAATTCATGCAGCTTGTGCACTTGTACTTCTTATCTGAATCAACCACGTACTTATATGCCTCCTCGTATTGCTCAGAGTTGAAAAAACCCTTGATAAAGGCAGCATGTGTTGAAAGCCGAGGTTCAAGACCCCTTGCCACCATCTCATCAAAATAGTGACATGCAATTTCAGTCTTGCCGTTATTGCAGCAGTAATATATAAAAATTTCAAAGGTTAATGCATCAGGAGGGCAGTCCTTGTCCTGCATTTCCGTCAATACCTTGCAAGCATCATCATATTCACCGTTCTTAAGCAAACAGCTAATTAGATAATTGTAAATTCGGGAATTCAGTTCAAAGCCCTCTTTCCTCATCTCATCCTGAATATCTCTCACCCCTTTAAAATCACATCTCCGACACATTTCCCTGATAAAAATATAGTAATAAGAAATCTTCCTCTCAGTTTTCTTCATCACAAACTCAACCATGTCAAAGGATCCCAAAACACTGAACATTTCGATCAATGAGGGAACCCAACCATGACAAGACCCTCTAACTTCACGCAACAAGTCAATCACTCTCTGTGTGGATTCCACCAAGGACTCATTTGTAACATTCATGACATGTAAGAATTCGAATGCCTTTTTGGTTAGACATAACCGGTTCTCGTTAAACTCATTCAAAAGACTCCTCATAGCATCATAATCATCTAAACGCCCACAATTGTCAATAACCAAGCTACAAATATCAGAATTACATCTCAATTCAGGCTGCCAATGTCTAATCCAACGAAAGAAACGCAAAGCAGACACCTTTTCACTATTCAAGACATGAAAAACCAGAGTCACAGAAGCAATAGATAGCTTTACACTCAAAGAACCCAACTTGTACTCCAAATCATAATCATCCCTCTTAATCAAATCAATAATATATCCTACTTGCTTTTGCATTGCCCTTGGTCTGACCCTACCAGTTCCCATTTCCTTATAAACATTAAAGGATGGTGTCTTGTAACCTCGAAGATAACCATGAATATTTGACTTGAAGAAATAAAGATTCAAACTTTGACTATTATGACCATTGTACCTACCATTACATCCAGTAAAACCCATGTGTTTTGAGACAGAAGGTGACCTATTTGAGGAAAACAAGGATGAACTAGGATAGTTACAGAAACATAGAGAAGTTGAAGATGGGTATGATGGGTTTGGAAAGAGTTGTGGCTGGGACTGTTGGAAGAGGAGAGGGAAAATCAAATTATAATAAGGGTTTGAGAGGTACCTGAGATTTTTGTGAGAGAGCTTTGAGATCTCCATGGAACTGCTAGGAGCAGTGCTCCCTCCTTGTGGCTAGGTTGACAAAACCAGTTAAAATTATGTGTAATAAAGTTATTCCAAAGTTTTTGTAGGGTTACTTACAAATAAAAAAAAAAGTTTTTTCGAGTATCATGAACATATAATAGTAAAATTATATATGAAATTAATTTCAAGTCTACGTATAATTTGAATTTAATTAATGATTTATCATAATTTTTACATGTATAATAAAATATCAAATCATAAACTCTAATTTAATTATATTATGTAAATATATAAAGAATTGAATTATATTAATTCAAAAATATTTTTTAAATAATAATGATGCGAAAGAAGAGTACGTGCGTGTAAGAAAAGAACAAGAAATGCCAAGAGAAAATTTGGAGCAGTTTAACTGGTAAGCCTTTAAATTTACTCCAGTATAATTTGAGTTTTTTCAAGATCAATAAAAATTTAGTTATTAACTTTAATATTTATAAAATTAATTAAAATACATACAAATTATCTTTGATATTCATGTTAATCCAAAAAATAAAAACACCAAGAGGGGCACCAGAGGTGGAGATGATGAAAGGAGAAGGGATAATGTTAATAAACAGAGGTGGTGGAGTCATAGAAGATGCAGAAAAAGATACAGAAAAACTGGTTCCTGGGAATGGAGAAGCTAATGAGCCCAAGAAAAACCAACACGAAGTGAATTAATGGGTAAATCCAAGGAAGAACAACACGATGTGAAGAGAATATGGAGCATGCTGGGCTCTAGCTTCGTTTTCGAGTCTTTTCAACAGTTTTTAATGGCCATATAAAACAACCTCAGGATGAAGAAGACAATATTCAATCCGACGTGCTTGAAATTGTTGGATAGAGATCGATCATCCAGTCCGCATGCATGTATACACTACATGCCTCGGCATACCCTGCAGCAACACTAGGTATAAAACTAGATCATTTCACGTTTCAGATTCCGGTGATGGGTTATAAGAATGTCAGGCGGACTTTCCGATGTTTGCCATTTTTCTGATCCATTTCTTCTTTTCATTTCCCAGATAAGTTATGCGTAATGCATCACAAAATATATATTGCACTTGATAATTTAATGTTAACAAAAATCTAATATGACTCGCTCAGATCCTGGGAAATTATTAGCATATGCTAAGGGTTCTTTCTTCTTTCTTTGTTCTGCTTCAATATGAAACAAAATTAAAAGAAGAGAAAAGTGAACAAAATTGCATGAAAATTGGAACCAAATTGAAAATTAGTTTTTCTACAGTAGAAGAAAAAGAACTTAATTCAAATTAGTTTTGAAAGAACTTAATTCAAAAAGAACTTAATTGGAACCAAACAAAATCAAATGTAAAAGAACTTAATTGAAAAAAAAAATCAAAATGACAAAAAAGAAAAAGAAAAAGTAAATCTACAGTAGAAGAAAGAGTAAAACATCAATTCAAATTAGTTTTTCTTTCAATTTTAATATTCTCTTTGTTTAAAGATATCTTGAATTGGATTTTATGTTATCCTTTACAAGAATAAGATGTAAGAAACCCTAAAAGCTCTTAACTCTCTATTCTATAACAAATTATTTTTCTCTTTTTTATAATAACATTCACAACGAAATATATTGCTATATCTAACCTTGGATTATGATCTCTCGTTGAGGGATTAAGGTTATTGAATCAACTAATTTATCAGTTTAGCTGATCAACTTCTCGGTTGCATTAACTCATTACAAATGCAATTTTCATGTAGATATATAAAAAAGATGACTTTTGGCACACTTGTATGGAAAGGGGAGGGCGTAGGTTCAATGTTGACTGCTTGAATTTTTCATAATTAAGTTTGAGTAAAGGTTAAATTTAAAGATATTATTAACTAATAAGCTATAAGATTTGGGTTTAATGATGATGCTTTACTATTTATATAAATAGTGAAGTTATATGATATTTTTCTTTTTATCTTTATTTTTTTTTTCTTTTAATTAGATACTTCTATAACCTAATTAAATGAAATTAGGCTTAAATTTATGATATATATATATATATATATATATATATATATATCAAATTAATAGACAGGAGATTAAAATGTAAAACACGAAAAAAATATGAATAATCACAACTTCACAACCATTTTTATTTTTATCTCAAGATTTATTTTTGTTTATTTTTCAATTATTGATATGGAGAGAAGAAAGAGAAACTTACTTGGAAATAATACGAAGAGAAAAAATTATTGATTATCTTGATTTTAATAACTAAAATGACCAAGGTTGCTATCAAATAATTTCATTAGACAAGAAAAATTTAATAATGGTGGTTTTTGATCTTTTTATTGCTTGAAAAAGTAGGTTGGTATTTTTTTTTATTTGATTTTATATTTTTTAACTAATTTAAAGGTGTTTTGAGTTGAGATGATATTTTTTTCTTTTTATCTATAGATACTTTTTTTTTATGAAAATTGGTTGACAAATGAATTTTAAAGCTCAAAACCCTACTCTTCTAATTTCTTAACCATTATAATGGTGGTTATAATATAGTCTGTTTTTTAACACGTGACGAGTCACCTGTTAATACATACAACTTATTGTCTACTTTATTAAGAAAAAAATAATGAAAACAAGAGGGGTGATTTGTCTTTAGCTTTTAAGTATGTACTGACATGTTTTTTTTTTCATTTTAATTTTTAATTAATTTATTTAACACATTATAATTATATTACTTTATGAAATTCTTAAATTAATTAATAATTTATTTTAGTTATTATTTAAAATTTAGAAATTGAATTCAAAATATATTGATTTTCAAATTCTATTTGATCAATTTATTTTATGAATATCATTTGAATAATACCATTTTAATCTTAATTAAATAAATACATTAATGATTCATGTATTTATCTTTCTTGTCTAGTTAAGTTAAGAGCTTGACACAATAGCTTGTATTGACCTGAAAATATCATAATTTTAATAATTACAAAAATAATTCAAATACATTAAATTTTAAAATTGAAACCAAAATTTTACTAGCAAGTAAAAATACATTGCCAACACCTACATGTTTTTCTTTACATTTTAAAAAACTTTCTATATACAATGAAGTGCATTAGATGTCATGCTCGCACGATACCGCGGTCTTGTGGCATGCTTGTGCATTATCATGTATTTATGAAAAAATCATATGAAAAAAAACTATTTCAATCCAAAATATTTTTAAAGAAAAAACTATAAATCTAAATTCTTAACCAGTTTAATATTAAAAAAATAAAATTAACAAAGATAATTTTAGAAACAATCATTAAAAAAGAAAGGAAAAATCAAGTAGGGAAACACTATAGCAATCTATAGTGTTTCATGAGGAAATCTAATGTTGTAATTCTTAACTAGCTCAATATTAAAAATAATAAAATTGATAAAAATAATTTTAAAAAAATCATAACATAAAAAATCATATGGAGGAATACTATAGAAATCCACAATGTGTTAAAGAAAAAAATACGAAGCCAAAATTCTCCACCAACTTAATGTGAAAAAAATAAAATCAACAAAAATAATTCTAAAAAAAATCATGAAGGGAAACACTATAACAATTTACAATGTTTTTTTTTTTAAGCTATAAAACTAAATTCTCAACTAGTCTAAAATTTAAAAAATAAAATTAACAAAAATAATTATAAAAAAAAACAACATAAAAAATTGAAAAGAAGAAGAAGACAATTTTGAAAAAAAAGACAAAAAAATAGGGAAAAAAACATCTGGAGAAAGCTAAAGGTAAATTCTCAATCAGCTTAATATTAAAATCATTTAGAAAAACAATGTAGCAAACTAAGTATTTTGTGAGGAAATATATAATTATAATTCTCAACCAACTTAATATTAATAAAATAAAATCAACAAAGAAAATTTTAAAAAATATCACAAAAGAAATGAAAGGAAAAAAAACCATGCAAGGAAAAACTGTAACAATCTATAGTGTTTCATGAGAAAATCTACAATTATAATTTTCAATTAGCTCAATATTAAAAATAATAAAATCGATAAAGATAATTTTTAAAAAAAATCATAACAAAAAAAATTATGTGAAGAAACATTGTAGCAATCAACAGTGTTTAAAAAAAGAACTATAAAGCTAAATTTTCAACCAGTTCAATATGGAAAAAATAAATTCTATAAAGATAATTTTAAAAAAAATTGATAAAAAAAACATGTGGGAAAACACTCTAGTAAGACAAAAATCATATGAAGAAATATTGTAGCAATCCATGTGATTTAAAGAACTACAAAACTAAATTTTTAATCAGCTTAATATAAAAAAAATAAAAATGATAAAGATAATTATGAAAAAAATCATTAAAACAACCATGTGGAGAAACACTGTACCAATCGACATTATTTAAAAAAAAAACTAAATTAAATTCTCAACCATTTTAATAGAAAAAAACAACAAAAACAATACTGAAAAAACAAACAACAAAAAAGATAATTTTTGAAAAAAAAAGATAAAAAATGAAAAAACAAAACATGTTAGGAAAACTAAAACTAAATTTTCAATCAGCTCAATATTTAAAAAATAAATTTGATAAAAATAATTAAAAAACATGTGAGGAAATATTATAACAAAACAAAAATCATATAAAGAAAATACTGTAATAATCTACAATATTAAAAAAAAAATACAAAATTAAATTCTCAACTAACTCAATATAAAAAAAATAACAAAGGCCATTTTTAAAAAAAATTATAAAAAAAAAAAATCATGTATGAAAATATTATAGCAATCCATAATATTTTAAAGAAAAAAATTACATAACTAAATTATCAATCAATTCAATATTTAAAAAAATTGGTAAAGATATTTTTGAAAAAAAAGAGTCAATTTTTTTTAAAAGAAAAAACATGTAAAATAAAAAAGCCAAGTAATATATAAAAAAATCTTTTAAAAAGAGAAACAGTACTTTTCACACCTCACACATTTTAGACACATTTTAGAGTATTCTTAATTAATCAACTAGTATATGCACAAGTGGTGTGGTGGTGAACTCCTTTCCTTTTCTTTTCT